ACGACGACTGTATACCCGGTCCTGAGTTTATCGACTTCTTTGTCTCCAAACACAACACATATCCGGAAGACGTGCTCTGTTTGAGAGGACATCAGTTTTTGGAGCACAAACTCAATGAACAAAATCCGTCAAACTTTTGGATAGATTACGAGAATCTGAGATTTATTTCGGACGAAAGACCGGAACAGTTGTTGCACTTCATTCACGCAGACGTCTGTCTCATCACTAAACAGGCCCTCCAGGAGTGCTCTTCAATACCTGTTCCCGACTCCAGCTATGCATTGGTTGACGACTATTGGATGAGTTATGTCTTGAACCATAAATTTAGTCGTAAACTTAGAAAACTCACCACAAGTAATGTTCCCGAAGACAATATTATCAAACGAACTGAAGACTCGGATGAGATTGGATTAGCTCTGTATACAAGACCTGAAGTAATACAAACTAAAGTGAGAGTATATATCCATCATATGCTTCAGGGATGGCCTCATTGGGAGAGTAATAATGAAAACAACATTAACTTGGATGAGAGAGCTATGAAAGTATTGACTGAAAATAAGAAGCGTTTTTGGGATCAATTGTTTGTTGGATTTAATATTTCATCCGAAATAAGTGCAGAAAGTGTTGAAGTTTTGGCTGAAATGGGAGTCAAATGTGCGAGAATAGGAGCCGTGGGTTTGGGAGATAAAGTCGACTATGAATTCAAGGCATTCCTCAACGATAAGGACGAAGAGATTAAACGATTGAAACAAACGATATCTCTATTGAAATCGAAAGGTATTCGAGTTGTTCTCACTCTTAAGAATGGATTGTCTTCTCCAGAGATTTGGGAATTCATTGCAAAGAATTTGTGTTCAGAGGAATATGTGGTCGGATATGATCTCATTAATGAACCCTTCACTCAATTGGAGAGTCAATACGAGTTTGAAGACAATGATCCAGGTATTTGAATATTGCATAAATGTTAAATATATATTAAGTACTCTATTTTATAACTAATAGGAATGTCTGAACTTATGGTGAATTATAAGAAAATAATTCAATCAATTCGTTCGATCGACAAAATGACACCAATTATAATAGAGTCGAGTTATTGGGCTAATGTCGACACTCTTTCCAACTTATCGATTGACAAACTCATAGAAATGGACGACAATCTTATGGTTTCGTTTCATTTCTATGATCCGCAACTTCTCACACAAAGACAACGAAATCAAAACCGTTATTCATTTCCCTCACAAATACCTGATTATGAAAACATAAAGTGGCCTAAAATGACTACAATTGACGACAACTTTATTAACAATAAATTTTTGTCTGCCATTCAATGGTCGCAAAAATTTAATGTCAAACTAGTTTTGGGTGAGTTTGGTATCAGTCGAGAGGTGTCGGGCGCTCATCAGTACTTGGACTCAATTATGAAGACCTGCAAAACATATGCCATCTCTTCATTCATCTATAGTTTTAGAGATGAAGAATGGGATTCAATGGACTACGAGTTGGGAACTGATGTCTCGACCGGAACTCTCAAACAAGAATTGTCTCAAAATATATTAATGCAAACTATTATGAATGGCATTAGAGATAATGTTAAGTAAAGTTACATTGGTTAATTGGATTTATTATTCTTGATCTTAAATACAATCAAACATGATATTAATATTCTTTATTGTTTTAATTTTAAATTCTATAGATCTTAGTTTATTTATTAATAACAATTTTATTCTTTTATTTAAATTAAATAATTATAGTTCAAATGGTAAGTTAGTCTAAATTAAAAGTATTAATATTGTGTTTTAGGATTTATAAAATAAAAATTTATTTTTATTTATTAAAATATTTTAATGTTAGTTTGTCTTACTTGTTAGTGAAAAATTTTCCGTAATATATATCAATGTATAACAAATTTTAATACAATGAATTTTTAAAAATTAAAAATTATTTTTATTAAATTTATCAAATTAATAAAATTTGTTAACATTACAGATACTTGTTAGTTGTTTAATAATAATATGGCATGAATTATAGTTAGGTTAATGTGAACAACAGGCACAATAACCGCCCACAACACAGCACTGGGGGTACCCGTCATCACAACAGTATATCATAGAGCAGGGACTCGAACACACCCAACAGTCGTTACCATTCGCGCCATAAGTGCTCACATTTAAGCCTAAATTATAATTATATACGAAATTAGAGTATGTTCATTAATTTACTCATAAAATAATACAAACCCTGTTTAAAGTCTTTATCAAACGCTGCTTTGAAGTCTTGTGTAACTTTGGGAATAGTCTTTGAGAAATGTTGATTGACATTTGCCATTTCACCTATAATTTAATTTTATTAATTAAAAATTATATGTTTTCAAAGTATATAAAAGTATAAATTTTAATAAATCATACTAATAGTGAAAACAAAGAAAAGTAGAGTCAAAACAGCAATCATTGAACGCATGTTTGGAGAGAATTAAAAGTTTAGTAGATTTTAACTAAAGAGTTATATTAATTACAAAACTTTTGTTTGATATTTTGTGTCTCTTATATACCCATCAAATAATCTGTTGTTATTGTTATTCAAATATTTGTTTTTAAAAACAAATAACTTATATTCATATCATATGCTATTTTATTACTTATTCTTTGTTTTATTCTAAAGAATCGTTAATATATTACATATAATACACGCGAATAAAAGGTTTATCAGTTAACTATAACAACAACAGGAAATATCTTATATATTATGTAATATTTATTGCACTTCTCATACATTTATTATTGTTATAATTTATAAAATGCGTCAATAATTCAAAACAGATTTTGTATTTATTAGTATTTTTTATGAGATTTTATCAAAATTACAAATGTATTTGAAATAATTTTATTTTTCAATAACTTATTTATTACTAATTAATAAATTAATATTTCACCTGAATAATTTATGAACGAATTAAATGAATTAATTACACTTAATAAATTAAATTTATTCTTTTGAATTTTGACCAATAATGTCATATATTTTTAACTTCTTTGCTTTAGGTCAACTCACTTTTAGTGCCTAAATAGCTTAATAAATTCTCAATAAATTTAATCAAAACATCGAATAATTAAAGTTAATAAAACAATTGTTGAATAAAAATACATTTTTTTATTAAAACTAAGAAATCGTAATAAAATATCTATTTTAAAATAAACTTTGTTTGAAAATTGTTTAAATTTTAAAAAGTATTTTAACAATCACAGTTGATCTAAATATTATTATGTAATATATTGAAAAATGTAATGCACAATTTATGTTAATTAATTAAATTTAATTATTTAGAAATGAAAATAAGTATACATTAATTTTATTTTATTTTAATATTTAAAATCATAATAATAATTTAATGTATAATATTTCGGTAAGCTGTTTTCGTAATATATAGCAATGTATAACAAATTTTAATACAATGAAATTTTTAAATTAATAATTATTTTTATTGAATTTATAAAATTATAACACAATACAAATTGTTAGCTGTTTAATAATAAAATGGCATGAATTACATTTAGATTAATGCGAACAACAGGCACAATAACCGCCGACAATACAGCACTGGGGGTACCCGTCATTACAACAGTATATCATAGAGCAAGGATACAAACACACCCAACAGTCCTTAGTAGTATTCACATCATAAGTGCTCACATTTAAGCCTTTAATTTAATTATATACGAAATTAGATTATGTTTATTAATTTAATAATAAAACAATACAAACCCTGTTTAAAGTCTTTATCAAACGCTGCTTTAAAGTCTTGTGTAACTTTGGGAATAGTCTTTGAGAATTGTTGATTGACATTCGCCATTTCACCTAATATTCATTATAATGTACCAATATAGAAATAATTAATTTTTTATATTTTACATATTTTTATAATTCATACCAATAGTGAATACAACGAAAAGTAGAGTCAAAACAGCAATCATTGAACGCATGTTTGGAGAGAATTAAAAGTTTGATAGTTTTTAACTCAAATTATATTAATTACAAATATTTTGTTGTTTAATGATTATTCAAAATTCTGAATCTCTTATATACCATAAAAAAGTCTGACAATTGTTTGTCAAATAATTATTTACTTTTGATAATAATAAATTCAGTGGAAAATTTTAATTAAGCAAAACAATAATAGATATGAAGATTGCTTAAGGTGTTAGCAAAAGCACTATGTAATCAATTTCATTCTTGGTTCTTATCATGCACACCGGCCGTTAATTTGTTGCGTTTCGTACGGCCAGTATTGGACTGGACGGGGATCGCAAATATGCGGAACCGGTCGCTAGTTATACCCCAGACCTTAGGGTCATATAACTACACATTTAGCCGATGATAACACCATTTATTATGTATGAATGTATTGTGTGAATGAGTGAAGACTTACGGGTTTGAAGTCTA